ATATGATTTGGCTGAGGGCGAAGATGTTTTCGTCCCGAGTTCTCGCTTAACGCATACCGCTCACAATCGTCAGACGTCAATAATTTTATTTAGCTTCGCGGTTGGACCACTGTTCTTTAAATGGCGGCGTTTCCTCTTTCTCCTATCTGATATTTCCCACAGTTACACGGCAATTTGCAAACCCAGCCTAACGAATTATTATCTCATACTTACTTGTTAATGTATTAAGTTTATTAGAAATTTTATATAGGATTATTTAGGATTGTGTACGACTTGACCCGACGGTTTCGCTCAGATCTTCGGTCACCACGTCAGCAGCGGTTGTACCTCAAGGACGCTCAGAGGGCCAGTGCTACGTCAGTCGTACACAAAGTTTACTTTGTGAAAACACCAACACGCACGTAAACAGCTAACGTTTCAGAGGCAACACGAGGAGCAACAAGCTCCATCTGTCTCAAAACATGTGACCGACCCTCTCACGTCCGTGCTAACCCTTTAGATCCGATTCGTTGGGCTTGTTTGTTGTCGAATAGTCATTTCGGTCAGTAACACAATGCTCCCATCGTGTCACATTTAACGATGGGAAAGACGGCACTGTTTCGATGTTCAACAAGAGTTACTATGAATAATGCATCGGCAGCTGCACCACGCGCTCTTCACAGGTGTAACTCAAACCCTCAGATTCTTGTTCGTCATGAGAAACGATTATATCATATCTACTGTTAGGTAACCTTTGTAACTTTCTATCAAAGCTTTTATCATAATGAAGAAGTAAACAAGGTCCTAGTTTTTATTTCATAGTGTCTCATAAAGAGGATTTTTTATCAACCGTTAGGAGAAAGCATAGCCCAAGAGATGTAAACTGCCACAAATTTTTTATGTTGATGATTATTCACTGTATCCTGCATGTGTACAAAGTACCTCCGCGAAATGTGGCACCGTTCTGTGGTACGGAGGAGAAAATGCTGAAAGAGGTGGCCGCGACAGAGCTCACTCAGGAAACTCTGAGAAAGCCAAGCCGTCACCTGCAACTTCACTCAGCAGGGGTGAACGGCAAAAGGATGTTCTGTCCAAGACGCCTTCTAAGCGTGGACACTAGCCAAAACTATTCGCCAAGATCGAATGGAATGAAAATCAAAAACAAGCATAACCCCTAACCACACGCTTGCAGCTCGAGTCGAACTATGTCAGACGACTGATGGGTGACCGAAAAATTTTAACAATTACCTGTTAGTACCCAAGGGACTGCAAGTGCCCGGTTAGAACACATGGGCTGAAATGGGACGATTAGGTAACGGAGATATGGAAGCTTGTGGCGAAGAATCACAACACAAGCAAAAGAGAGCATTGAGACTTGACAGTGGTAATCGTTCTTAATTATAAATAATGATTAGCCACTGGCTGTTGCACATAAAACAACAGGTTTCTATCAGTTTTTAGTAGCTTCTCTGTGAAGTCTAGGTGATCAACTTGCAAAAGTCATGTCATTCGCAGTCTTTAACTTCCCGCATGTCGATGGTTAGATTTGGCATTTTCCCATTTTCTCAGACAAAGTTTTCATGAAGTTTTCTTCCAATGAAACAACAACATCAATAATTTCACGTCTTGTAGTTCTAATATAAGATTAATATCTTTGGAATAATTATGATCAAACTGCTCGATCTGTGAGAATAGAGCGGTCGTAACATGTGTTTAACTGGTCATTCTCAAGAGCGATTACTGGATGGTATCGACAGTATGGTGTATAACATCTGTGCCTTAGCCAGTCGATAGTCGTATGTTCGAATCTGTATGACTGGACGGGGTCGCCTGCATCAACAATTTTCCCAACCTTCTCCTCCCCCACGTTACATAGCTATGAAAAGCTCTGTCAGCATAATACGAAAATCCACTCAAATTAATGATTTTTTAAGGTTTCCATCTTATTTTCTGATTACACTATTCCAACTGTGTGACCTCATTATATGAACGTGCAATTGCGAGTTTGACTATATGTTGGCGAACATTTGTTTCTGTCGCCGTTTCCCTTTTCTTCATCACTTTCATATCAATGAAAAACTGCCAGTGAGCAGAATATGAAAATTCTTTTAAATTTGTGAATTTCGAAGTTAAAATTTTAATTTTATGCCTATTTGCGATCTTCATCTGTATGACTTCTGCGTATCAATAACAAGTGCACTGACACTAGAATCTTGTCAAACTGTTACTAGAGAATCCACTGAATTTCATTATTTCTGTTCTATTTCATGAGAGCATCATATCATTGTGTGAGGTCATTATTCTCAGGGAGAAGCCATGTGATCGCGACTATATGTCAATGTTATTGAAAAATATCTCCATAAATTGTTTGATTTAAACCCTCATGATAATTCGTCTGTAACCAAAATATATGGTTTTTATTAAAAATGCACACTTCAAAATTTCTTGAGTGATTGTATGTGCTGTACCTAGGCGATTTAATCAGAACAGCATCGCTGTTACAACGACTTACTGTTCATAGTGACTCTATAGTGACCCACTCAGTCACTGAACCAACGGCCCACTGACCCAATAACTCACTAACCTACTGACACACTATCCAAGTGACCTAGTGACATACGGATCCAATGAGCCACGGAGCCGCAGACCCACTTAGCCACCGACAAACGGCATCACTGACCCACTGTGTATCGTATATTGAAGCTTACATGGCACAGATGACAGAGATTGAGGTCAATGCAACCGTTTCATTTCTGCCTAAACACTTTGGAATATATTCACGAACAGCGGATGGAGGGCATAACTTTAAGCCAATACTATATCTTTGTTACTCAGATGTCTTTTTACTACTTTTCATCATTAATTCTTACCAAAGTGTTGAGTTGGAAGGAACTATACCGCTGCCCAATTGGTTAGCAAAATTTATTTCTTTTACCTGAATACATATTACCTTCTTGCAACATAACTAACTTGACTGGCGGTTGATAACCGGAACCAGGTTGCTCGTAACGTTTTTTCAAGTGTTTTTCAGCACTGCGAACCCACCATCTAACTTTCAAATATCAGGAGCTACGATACGATTCAATAACCTCGCATAATCATCATACGAAATCCATGGATGAAATGGAAGTGTGAAAATGAACACTCATTGTGCTATCAGTGAGGTTTCTCATAATATAACATGATAAAATGCGTCAGAAAAGCGAGAGAGAGACACTGAAATAGAATAGCTCAGGATCACGAAAATAGCGTTGCCCAGTCATAACGATCTTGAGTTATCCCGCCGTCAAGAAGAAAAGTTTTTTAACCAAAACAAATTCATATTCATTCTACACAATTTTCGAGCTGTGCTTAAAGAGAGATTTCTACAGGTTCGTAATTCGACTCAAATTCACAGCCACAGGATCGCCATCAAATGGCTCATGACTAAACAACCGCCTATAATGCGGTGTCGTTTCTGAGATTACGACACTTTCATAGGCCAACTGTTGCCTATTGTATGATCGTAGCGATGTTTGAGGTACTCGGCGTTAGTCAAAACTGAGCTAACTGCGAGAATATGTTGGATAGAACCTGTTTTATTGCTGCTCGTTCTGCCATTATCTGAGAGATTTGCCTCCGCGACGAATTTCCCATACTTCTTAATAAGCATCACTTCATAATGTACTGTTAAATCGTTTTTTTCCAAAAACGATCCTTCTTCCTCGAAACCATACCAGCGACTTTTCCAGGTCGATTGCATTAGACATAACAACAACATAGTACATCCCATAAACAACTTTCTTATTCCGTTCATAAAGTCTTCATAGTAGGTGTCTCTTCTCTACCAAGTGGTCGCTCTCACACAGCTGAAGGGGCAAAGATCTTCTGCTTACCTCTGCTATGGTTCTATGTAAAGGTGAAAACTTCGTCAAATAGTATATTGCCTGGGTGCTTTTCTTTTTAACGAGAACCTTAAGCAGACCGCGACATTCTCTCCTTGACAGATATCAGATTATCTGTGATGGCGCATATGAAAATCGGTCAATATAGTACTGACCTTTCGATCAAGATCATCCAGACATGTCTAGGTCTACTTCCGGATACAAACAGCATAGCTAAGGTATTCACAGCTTTGATCATCTTATATTCGAGATAAAGTGAAAGGCCTCATCGCCCTTTTTCACTTGATGGGAGCTGACGGGAAAAGTTCCAGCGATCTGAGGTACTAATTACATGCGTTCCAGCTTGATTCCTGAATTTACATCCCATTACTGTTACATTAAACAATGAAAGATATAGTCAATGCGGCAATCTAAATATAAATTATTAAATAACTTAAGCAATGAATGAATGGTCTCTGAACAATCACCAAATAACGTACAAAAGAGTACATTTCCTCCAGTATTCTCCTGTTTAAATTCAAAAATGAATGGCGCATGAATGGACGTAAGAAAGTTGAATGAATACTTGAAATAAAAGTGGAAACAGCTTGCGCAGCTGACATTCGCCCGATTAATTATTCTGAGAAAGCAATCTGTTCCGTTGTATCGTGAAGGAACCGAAAGAGTGGAAAATATTAGAGATAGTTTAAACAGAACTAAAAAATAATATCAAGTGAAAGGCTACAAATATACAGTTCGACGCGCGTGTTTGCCTGATTCTTGAAGACAAGTGACAGTCGTCAACGACAATGCTTTACAACTTACTTCGTTCGTCGACACATAGAATTCGGCAGCTTTGAAGTACCAGTCCTGCAGTGAAACGATCGATGCTCGTCGTGCCTTTAAGTATTTTAGGCACTGGTTTCGCAGCAGAGTAACAAATTGTATGTCAATGTCCTGGTCAGAAAAGAAAACGCCACCGGTAACTGCCGTCGCCGGCTCGCAGTCGTACAGCATGTAGATCTTGCGCTGCAAGGAGCCAACCGATTTCATCGACTTAATCAACTTCCGGCTCTCCATAGCCTTCAAGAACTTTCGGACCTGTGCCAGAGCCAGGTTGGACTTGTCCTTAATGTCTTTTAGCCATACGCCGCGATTCCCTCCTTCCTTGATGATGTGGTACAGAAGTTGCTCCTCATTGCTAACACCGAAAAGTTTCTCGTCAACAGCGGAAGAAACTCCTCTTACTTTGTAAATCAAGGTATTATTGACCCGGTGAATGTCGATTCGTCCGTCAGTCAATAGCTTGTTGATCGCCATCACACGAGCAACCGGGTCGATTTCAGGTGCTCGAATTTTCAGCGTCTCTTCAGGCACTCCGTCGGGATACTCTTCACAGACAGCGAAAATATT